TCTCCTTGGAAAATTTACTGATTTTTCTCAGCTGCTGTGTGTGGTCTGCAGCGTATATTCAGTTGCACATGGAGATCGGCTTACTCTGCAGTGGCACACCCAGAATCGAGCAGAAATGGGAGGCAGTAGAGCTAAGGATATGGCCTTTGGGGATGTCAATTACTTATCAACTGGTCCTTACTGGAGGCAGGCGGTATTGGACCGTACCTGGAGACACGTTTGGCTCTCATGGTGGGAGTGGTGTGCTCCTGGCCTCTAGCGGTGGGTCCACAGTGCACGGGACGGCCCACCCAGCAAAGACGAGCCTCCAGTGTAAGCATGCCACGGCTGCCACACGCTGCTGCCGACCGGTTCATCCCAGCAGGAGGCAGGCCCAACTGGCTTCAGGGAGGTAGCTCCAGGCCTAAGCCAGTGGGGGAAGGGGGGCGCCAAGGACACTAACCCCACTGCCCACTGTCATTCATCGGTGTCACTAGGCTCCTTGTTCCTCCTTTAACCCTTCGGCAACCTGCCGCTGAGGACGGGGTGGGGGAGCTCACTCGGGCCCTTTCGTAAGGAACGCTAATGCCACCTGTGAGGGTGGAGCCCTCCATAATCATCATATCCCAGAGTCCCCACCTCTTAATGCTGGTCACATTGGGTACTCCCAATATGAATTGGGGGGGGACACAGGCAATCAGGACCATAAGCGGCAGTCTTCCTTGTTCTGGGAACACTCCTTACACTGCTGGTGGGACTGCAGCATTAGTAAGGCTAAAGAATGAAAACCATTTGATCCAGCAATCCCACTACTAGGCATCTACTCAAAGAACAAACATTCTATAAAAAGGACCCTGCACGCGAATGTGTTGGCGCACATTCACAACTGCAAAGCTGTAGAATCAACCCAGTGCCCATCCATTGAGTGGGATTAATAAAATGTGGTGTAATGCATACCATGAATTCTACCTCAACTGCAAAACGTGTGATCTAGCACCCTTGTATTATCCGGATGGAGGCTGGAAGCCGCATCTCTCGAAGTGAGGTATCCAAGAATACGAAAAACAAGCACCACTGTACTCCTTCAGATGTGGTACTAATGATGGAACACTAGAGGTATATGATGATAACACTAGGTAGCTCACATGGTAGTAATACTCCTTGGGTGCAGTCCGGTGGGAGGGGGGTTGGGGTGGGCAAACTCCAACTGATGGACGCAGAGCAACCACTGTGATGGGGAGGGCACGCATCTGTAGCCTGGCTTGGGTGAGCAAATGCATTTACATTAAACCAAATGTTGTACCCCCATAGATATCCTGAATTTAAAAATAAAATAAAATAGTATGGTAGCTAAATAAATTCAAGCCTGAAAGGGTTCAAAAAAAAAAAAGTATGGAAGTATCCTAATGGCCCTTTCATCTAATTCCATCCATTGTACCAACAAGAAGAGTGGGAAAGCGCCTTCACACGCTTGCTCACTCTCTTGACTCGGAAGGTCTGGGGTCCGGCTGTTCTCAGCGGTTTCTCGCATTCGGGTCATTGAGGTACTTCTTGACCACCCACCTGCGAAGATGAACAGAGGCCCAGCACATGCATGTTAGCATTCCAGGCACCCGATGGCAAAACAGGGGACAGAAGCAGCCATCCTGACCTCTCCCCCCATGTCCCTCACTGCCTGCCCTCATGAAATGACCTGGGCCAGAAGTTAGCGAAAAGTCTTACAAGCAGCTGGATGTGAAAAGCCGTTGATCCAGCGCTCATGCAGATAGATAAGCTGTCCCTCTAAGGTCAGCTGGTAGGAGGACTTCTTATCAGTGACGCACACGTGCACACAGCAAGCTCATGAAGGGTGCCTGGTCCAGCTCCCTCAGCAGAGGAGCAAGGCTAATCCAACGTCCAAGGTGACAGTGCCAGCATAGCTTTGGTCCTGTTTGTTTTCATCGGGATTTATGGAAGGCCTTCCACAGACTGACCGCTCTCCTTTGCAGAAGCGCAGGCTCTCTACACCCTCAGTCCATGTAAATGTTCTGTCCCTGTCCCCAGTGTTTCACACAAGCCTGTCTGATACTGTCGCCACAAGGTCAGAAAGGAATGCACGGTTGAAGACAATAACCACATAGAAGGATAGCAAAGTTATGCTGCCAGACCACATACTCCCCGTGTACAAACCCAGATAAAGAAATGAGGAACACTCAGCTTAGGTTGGAAATGGGCTTTGCCCCTGTTCTCTGCACGCTGCCGTGGGCTGCACCATTGGCACCACCGCGCAGAGCTGAGGGTCCGGCTGGGTAGCCAGATGGTCTGTGTCCACCTGGGGAGGATTCCGGAATTTCGTTCTTGTGTCTGCAGGTCTTAGAGTGTAGGCAAAAAGGTGAATCTTGGTCACATAGTGTGGAGGGTTTAGATTGGTAGTTCAGTGTCCCATCACAATGTATGAACTTGGCACGTTACCCAATTTCTTAATATATATATGTCCCTTTTACGTGTGACTTGGAAACAATTAGGGACACAGGAAGCTGCTGCAGAGGTTGAGAGTAGGTGAAGAGCCCAGGTTTGGGTTAAAGTGTGGTGTGTAGTTGGAACTCGGCCTGTGAGAACTTAATGTGCTGTGTCAGTCCTGTGTTCCCATGGTGCTTGAGGATGAATGAGTGAGTGAGTGATGAATGATACATGCCCAAGCTTGATTCTCTCCACGATTTGCTTCATCGGTCACCTGAGCTGGTGTCTTGTCGGGAGCCCTCGTCGGCGCTGAGTGCTGTGCTCTGCTCGTTCACGGGCATGTTTCCAGATGGTGTTTCTGGCTGCTGGGGGGAGCCCCTGCCAGGCTAGGGTCTCAGCCCCACCCTTGCGAGCTGAGAATACAGTCCTGTCCGTCACCCTGGAAAAGATCCGGGGACCTAGTCCCAAAAGGTGGGAGAGGCAGGAGGAGAATGACCAGTGCATGCAAGAGGATTTGTCTAAAGTCATGTGAGTGGGAGCCGGGGTGGCTCCCACCAGCCAGGAGAGTTGTGAGTCATGTGAGAGGGAAAAATCCCTGTGTGGCCCAGAGCAGATAGGGAGGGTGCCAGTCATGGGGAGCACGTAGGGAGGATGCCATGTCATGGGGGAAGA